AATCAAGCAGGCTTTAGACCAGGTAGAGGGTGCATAGATCATATCTTCACTCTTCGACAGATTCTAGAACATAGACACACTTTTCGGCGTCCAACAATTGTCATATTTCTTGACTTGAAGGCGGCCTTCGACTCCGTGGATCGAAAGGTACTATGGCAATGTCTGACTGTGAAGGGAGTGCCAAGAAAGTACATTGCACTAATCAAGGCACTCTATTCAAACTCACGTAGTCGTGTAAGGGCTTATGGGGAATTGTCATCTGAATTGGTAACAACCAGTGGTGTCCGACAGGGATGTCCACTTTCCCCATTTCTGTTTAACTTCATCATAGATATGCTAATGGAAGTATCCTTAACTGAACGTAGTGACTTAGGAATCGACTTGTTACCAGGGAATAATCTTATGGACTTAGAATATGCAGATGACATAGTCCTGTTAGGGGAGGATGCTGACAAAATGCAGAGTCTTCTGAACACCTTGAGCAGCAATCTTCGTATGTTTGGCATGCGATTCGCCCCTGCAAAATGTAAGATGCTGCTACAGGACTGGACGACGTCAACCCTAACTTAGTGATAGGGAGTGAAGTGATAGAACATGTTGACCACTTCACCTACTTGGGAAGTTGTATTAGCACCAACGGACTGATTGGCGATGAAATCTCAGCACGGATCCGAAAAGCTCGAGCTGCTTTCGCTGACTTACACCATCTCTGGCGTAGGCGTGACATCCGGTTATCAACCAAGGGACGTGTGTACTGCTCATCAGTTCGCTCCGTCCTTCTCTATGGCTCTGAAACATGGCCAATACGCGTTGAAGACATGAAAAGGTTGACTGCTTTCGATCATAGATGTCTGCGATCTCTGTCTCACGTTAGGTGGTTTCACAAGATAAGTAATGTTGACGTTAGGCGTAGAGTGTTGGGCAAAGAGGGAAAATCAATCGACGAGGTTATAAAGTTACATAGACTAAGATGGCTAGGTCACGTGGTGCGCATGCCTAACCACCGCCTCCCCCGACGGGCATTGTTAGCTGATATAGGTTCAGGTTGGAAAAGAGCCAGTGGTGGCCAAACAAAAACATGGCATCAATCCATGAAATCCTTGACAGTTAAACTGAGTCAGGTAGGGAGATGCAGACTCCCGGGTTGGGGCCCTCGGGACTCTAGGAATCAATGGCTGGAGACAATAGGTGACATGGCTCAAAATCGTTGTCAATGGCGCAGATGTATTCAATCTCTGTAATCTTTCATATTCCTTTCTACCATTACCCATTCTGTTTCACTCTTATACTTGTCAAACTCTATTGATTCTCTTCACTCATCTTCTTGTCTACCTCTGTGTGCTATTTGGAACGTGGCAACTCGAACTGCTGCACTTCGGTGCCAAGTTCTATGTTGAATCCAGACAGACAGAACAGGCTTACCACTGGTTAGGCGACAATTAGGAGCGCGCCCGCCGGGAGTCGAGTCTCAAACCACGTGCACAGCTGGTGACCATTCTACCCATGAAATGCATTAAAGTGTCACAGACAAATGTAAGATCAACACATAACATTCCATCAAAAAACTGTCGCATGCCTTTCACCACTATGTTTCTTAAATACACATTTACTAATGACACTGAGATATGAGAACGACAGACTTGTTGTGAAAAAATGAAAAATTATTATTGATAAGAAAGAAGATTATCAACTATGATATCTAATTAAACTTTAGAATGAATGCATTAATAAACACTTACATAGATATAGAAAAGGAGGTAAATGCTGAAATGGCAAATCATACCTAGAAAACTGTCTACTGAATAAAATACCAAGTAGTTGAGTTTGCACTCACAAATAATGTGAAGTTTTACAATTTTGAAGACTAAAGGTTATACAAACGGTTTCCTGGTAATTTCATCCTATAGCAAACGATGAAACCTTCGTCTAAAAGGTAGTTAGTGACTTATAAGTATTGGGTCGTCTGAAATCCCCAATCAATGACTTCTTAAGTACGCCATAAATACGCCGAAAATGTGGGTAATATTAGTTTGATCGACCTACCCTCTAATAGCATGACGACGGTCTGCAGAGAATTTAGGGCATGCGAGAAAGCTAATCATAGAGCGTATCTCAAGAGACACGTTTGAATTCATGGATTTACCAGAGCGAATGAATGCGTGTGAATCGACTATAGCCTCAGTGGACACACTTTCCCTTAACCAAAGCTGCCTGCAGCCTCTGTGCGTTTACCGACTTAAATGACCTGAATGTTGGCATACCCACTAAGTAAATCAAAGAGATGATACTGAGATGCACATTGAAAGTTTAATTTGTAGTCGACAGCTGAATATACTGACAGAAGGATGGAGTAGCAGTGGATTCTCCACTAGTTCCATTACTCGCTGGTTTCTTCATGACCTACTGTAGATGTAATAGCCTCGAGTCAACCGTCAACGAGTTCGGAGTTTACAGACTGCACGTGGATGATATCTTTATCATTATCGATAAAAATACTGAGCTAATTTAAGTCCTAAGTACCTATAACGATGCTCATCCATCAGTCCAGTTTAAAAGTGGAGTAAAACTAGTACATAAAATCATTCATTCTAGATGTCTAGCTTTCAAGACGAACAGATGGAACTCATATAGTCGAAATAGAATGAGTGGCTGACAAACTTTCATAGTTTTGTCTCAATACTCAGAAAAAGGAATCTCTGTTGTTACGAGAATCTAGCTCATATGTACTGAAGATATGTCGAGTAGGGAATTGGGATCCATCAGGAACACTCTAATCAGAAGTGGATATCCAACCTTCTTCATCGATAAATATCTGAAGAGAATGACTATTGTCCCACGAAATCGAGATGTGCTGAATAGAAGACTTATTTTAAATCTGAAGATTTACAAAAGACGTAAATAGCAATGAAAATTTCCTTTTCGACGATTCATTTTCAAGAGGTGTACAATCTTATTTATATACTGAACAGAGAATTCAAAAGACCAATCAGATACTGGTAAATCTGTTCTAGAAAACGTGTTGCATAATGTAAGGTGCAATCTAGAAGGCACTGACTAATTGGAGACAAGGAAAGGGGGCAGAAGTTGAGATGACCAATTGCGTGTGATAAATGACCAGTCAATATAATTGCATAAAGTGGACAAGAAGTAGTGGAAAGACAGTAAAGTATTTAAGAGAAACCTGTATGAAAATGCCAAGTTATTAAAAAAAGTAACAGAGCGACAATAGAATAAGGAAATGAAATTCTCCAGAGCTATTTGTCGACAGCAATTCAAAGAATGTTGTTTGCCGTATCAATACTTCTCGTATTCTCTACACCTGCTGTCGCTCGCCGAAATGTCAGAGACAATATCCGACTGTTACCTGCTTCAGTGTGCGTTTACTTCTTCACTTGCTCCTATGGAGTTAAGCAATCTAGCCCATGCCAGTTGGACATTGTGTAGACGTACTCATGAACACTCACAAACATGGCTACCAAAAATATAATACAGAGCAGTCGATAATCCAATAATGGAGCACTTTATTACTTCTGGTCACTCAACGTTAGCAAAGAGTTCATTCAGAATCATACATAAAGTACCACTGAGCCCTTCAAAAGATTTTGCCTACACCTACTTCAGGAAGCTGAAGCAGTAGCCATAAATATGGAAAACTTCAATTTTGTGCTCAGAAAAGTGGTCTTAGTGCTGATTTTCCTTTCCTGGATTGTTTTCTAATCAGCTCTATCTAGTCCTTTTATTTTTTAATTTTTCTAACACATCTCCAATCGTTTTATTTCTGTCAGTTATTTCCAAATGATTATTCATCACTTAACTGATTAATTGTCAACCTTCTTGATCATGTGAGATTATTCGCCATTTTTCACACATCACTGTTACTCATACACTTTGACCTCTGTTGTCAATCAGCATTGTAAATCACTGTACAGCGCTAAGGTTAAGTCACAAAAAGCGACCGTTTTGCTGACCCACATGTTTTTTAATGACATCACAGGGGAATTCGATTATTAAAATCCTGAATATGTACAAGTAAACGATGACTGAGTTTCTTCCTACATAAGAAAGCCAAAGAAATGACGATTGGAAACATAAACCTGATAAACCTAATTGATAGTCGCATAGTACTGTCAAGAATCCTTATCCGTTTGGTGTAGACATTTCATGACATGATCGCGAAAGTGTCGTAATTGCTTCTTTAAAGATGGAATCAATTTTTAAAACTCATGAGAATTTATTTAAATCAACTCACAATTTTTGAGTTATACTCTACGATGGGTTTCACATGTTTACCTGATATTAAATATAAATATTCTTCAGAATTTGTCTAAATAATAAGCCAGAGTTTATCAGAAATCTAATACCAATAAATTAATCTTTCTAAGCCATCAGCGTGAAGCATGTAGAAAGACTGTTCAACAAAAGTGAAGCTAAGCAAGTGCATAGTCTATTATTGAAAAAAATTGTCCAGAAAAATTTGGGAATCTATCCATCATCTTTCAGCATTTATTGTAATTTGTAAGAAAGACAGCATTTAAAGTATTCTGTGATGAAAGACACCTCAGAATTTTTTAAAATTTTTATTTTTGATTACAGCTTGATTCCACACCGTATTTTTGGGACAAGTGTGGAATTTTCAGCGTGGATATCGGTAGCCCAAATTTCGCAGACCGACCATAGATATGAAGTGTGCGTCGGTGTGGGCTCGAACCCCGGACCATGCGCATGGCCGGCGAGAGTCCTAACCACTGTGCCACCGACGCACATCAAGTCGCTTTGTAATTGTCTATTTGTTGTCAGTGTTTATAGAGAGATGAAATACTTTATTCCAGGTGCATAACTATTGTTGTTTGTCTGAGAACGTCTGAATTATTTTATTTATTTATCAGTTTATTTCATTTTTATTGTACTTCATATCAGCATCTAGTAGATCATATGGTGAATTTTGAAGCCAAGCTACTAATGTCTTTGTTGTTTTTTTGTTTCATTAAGGTCACACAAACAATATAAACTCAATTCATCCTATAAATAGTGTCACCAAAAAAAGGAAGGTATCTATCTCTACACCTCAAGACTAAACAACAGAATTACCTACTTGATCTAGATATGACTGAAAATAAGGCTGTTATTAAAAATGCTGATATGACAGAGGATATGCAACAGGATGCTGTCGACTGTTGTACACAAGCCATGGAGAAATACAATATTGAAAAAGATATTGCAGCTTATGTGAAAAAAGAATTCGACAAGAAGTACAATCCTACATGGCATTGTATTGTTGGTAGAAATTTTGGAAGGTGAGTGAGTGAGTGAATGTTTTCGCCTTTTTTGTGTATCATACATTGAAATATTTCACATAGTTAATTATCTGAGATGACCTCAAGAAAATCATTGGTTAGTAGATGAAGAGACTAATGTGAGTCATTTCTTTCAGGCGTTAGTTTTTAGGGAATTGGTTTGTTTCAAGTTTGATCACGAGTTAGGGGACCATTGAAAAGTAGTCCTAGTTTCAGACTCAGACCTACGCATAACCACGATCCCACCAGGGATCGAACTCAGAGCCTTTGATTAGGCCATTCAACTAGTGGGACAGAATCCAATGGTCCACTAATTCAAACTTCTGACCGTTGGCCATTTTTAGCGCCATCGGTAACCAATGTCATCAGCGACAACTTGTTCTCATAGCCTACTTGACAAACCGCTCTGTTCACGAACTCGCACTGGGACTGCAGGAAGCTTCTACCTGTAGTCAGTCACTGGTGAGCATCAGATTAATTCTGAAGTGTTAGTGTTATCGATCACATTTTGAAGAGAGGTGGCTTCATGAAAATAACCCTGTTTACAAACATTTGGAAACTTAAATTTCTTGGAAGGCTAAAACACAAGTGGCTCGGAATTCCTCTACTCATGAAAAGTTTTCAGGTGGTCAGCTATTGGGCGTCATCTGGAAGTAATATCAAAATACTTTTCTACAATTTGAAACTACTCAATAGAATAAGCAGTGCTATACTTGGGGAGGATGTAGGTATGACAAAATGCTACATAACCACCCTCTTGTTTTGTTCCACTTATATTTTAATGTTCTTTTTAAAAACTGAATAACTCAAAATTCCTTAATCAATGTTTTTCGTGAAACACATTTTGATTAACCGAAAGTCTGTAATTTGCTTAATACTCACAGAGCAAAGACTGGTGAAACACACCTAGACTGTAATATTCCTGAAATAATCTATGTTTCAGATGACGACTTTGTACTCAATACTCAATTATATAGTGTGAATACGACAAATGTACAGTAGTTATATACACATTATTTTAGATAGATAGATTAAGTGGAAGTTGTTAATTCGTCAAGAGGAGTCTCATTTCAGTAATTTTCGGATGGATATGATCATATTTCAAGTAGTCATTTCATTCGTCATTCACTTTACATATCGTATGACTGTACTAAGGATCCGCTTCAACCCTGACACCTTAGTACTTATTCTTTAAACGCTGAATTTCTTAAGTGAAAAGTTTTATACACATACTTCTAACGTGCACTTTCAACCAGATGGCTTCATTTCAAACCCAAGTGATGGAATCACAAACTCTGAGGTGACAAAAAAATATCTACCCGTTGTACAAGTAATCTGCAGCTGTACTATGTATGCTTATATCTGCTAGACAATAGGACAGTAATGGGCTAAATTTTAAGCTGTCTAGTGGATCTATTGACCTACTGATAAATCACTCAAATGTCTCACTACAAGCTGGCAGGGAATAAAGAAACCAGTTTGAGCAGCTTCGAAAGAAACTCCTCTAATTACCCAAGCGAATTGTAACAATTATGTGAAGACGTTACAGTTCTAAGTGTGATGGAATATTCTATTCTAGTTATTGAGGGTATCAAAGGATGAGTTTTGTAAAACTATATATCTTACTGAAAACTGACCTCAGGTATTCATCGATAAATTTCATACTGTATACTACCTCAATATTGTACAACATAACTAATGGCGTCAATTAGACTAAAAGCACTGCATTATTAAACACAGTTTTTGGATAATTCTCCTATGGCGGTAATTTTAATGTGACTTTTTCGAATTAATTTGCATAAATCAACTGTTATCTCATATTTTTCTCAGACTGATTTCCCCCCATCCCCACTCCCACCTCACCCCATCCTTTCCTCGGCTTTTTTCTTAATTTCAGCTATGTGACGCATGAAACCAAACACTTCATCTACTTGTATCTGGGACAGTTAGCATTCCTACTGTTCAAGTCTGGTTAGACAGATAGATATATAGATAGATGGATGTTAGTCAACAGACAGGATATATGAACAAACCAATGGACATCGTTTCACACACAGACACACACACACACACAAACACCACGTATCAAAATTTTCAGACACCAAAATCACTCAACTTATCAGTTACTTCTTCCTCTTCTTCGCTCAACAGTTTTCATTTTTGTATCCAACTTTTGTCTTTGTAACTTTATTTTGGTTAAAATTTGAAAATAAATTTTTTGATAAATAATAAACATTGGGAGAAACAAGAGGATCACCCAGAGAGAGGGAGAGAGACTGTAACAACACTGGGACGAGTTTGCTTCTTTCTTTTTTCTAAATGGTTATGTGTATGCACTCATGAATTGGCCTGGATTTATTTTTGTATATGTGTGTCTGACTCTTAATATCCCTGCTACTTGTTCTGGACATTGAAATCTGACGAACTTCTAACTTTAGATACTTTTTGTGGGTGTTTTGCCTCCTTCTGATAAGAAAAAACAAAACAACTACTGCAAAAGTAGATAATAAAAAATTATTTACAGATTTAAATAAAAAAGATATATATGATGTCGTGTTTTTGACCGTTTTTAACTCATTATCTGGAGTTTATCTTTTTCCTTCATTGATGATTGACGAGGTTTCGTAGACAATTTTGTGACATAATGACCTAATGGGTTTAGTTGGAAAGTAACCGTGAATTGTGATTGAATACAAAGTATTCACCTGTAGAATGAAACGTTTATTGCCTTCCAGTGTTTATCTCCTCAAACACCGACCTGAATATAGACTGCGGTAGGTAATGAATATAAGTGGTAACATTAAGCATATAGTTCTTGTCTTCCGTGAGATTTTGGTAGAATCTTTAGATGTCAATCTTCAGCATACGTTAACTTAACAAGTTCACCAGCCATTTTGTATGTATCCTCTCATTGTGTGCATGTAAACACTCAAATGACATTCTTAAGTCTTGAATTTGATAATCGTTTACAAACTGCGTAGCTCGAGGTGGAGAATCACCACATTTTCTTCAGGAATCCAAAAATAACAGTTGATCTGCTTGGTACAATAAATGGCAATGATGAAGGCAAACAAACCGGAGTGATATCATATTCTATTGATTGATACAACTCACGTCGGATAGTAATGCTTGCCAGCCACATCTAAGTGATGCAAAAACACTGGTCGGTTGTTTCGTTTGTCGTGTAAAGTCACACTCAAAAGATTCGGACCTGGTGTCATATCAACAAATTGTATACAGCATCACAGGGTTGCAAAAATAAATCTCTGTACTCGAAGAATGTATATTTCTTTGTCTTGAAGATCAGTTATTGTTGACAAAAATAACAGCCATCGAGTAAAATGCATAAGCTGCAAGAACTGCTGAAGAATATAATGCCTTTTTCTCTCACAGTGAGGCTTCGTAACAAAATGTAAGTAAACTAGGTGTTTTGGAAGAAAGGGCGGTGTACATAGGGTAGGGAACATTTATGGACGAATCTGGATATTTGTTGCAACAGCAGCAACAAAAACAAGAGAATATTGAAATTAAAATGGAGTATGATATACGTGTAAAGAATATTAATCATCCATACAGATCTAAGAATACATATAAGTCATCTTAGCTGGTTCAGTGCATCTATTGCACAAAATCATCATCTCTTGTGTTTGTATGAGGTGGATTTATTAGTAAAATTCATATTCGCGACATGATTCATATTACAAATTATTATAACAAGTACAAAATTCAGGAGGATTTAGTCCAAGACGTATTGTTTTGGAAATGAAATTCGGTGCACATATGAAAATAAATTCATTACCTTGATAGGTTCGCATGCAGGTATATGATGTACAAAAAGGAAGGAAATAATTACTGAGAAGTGGAGGGCATTCCACAGTTCAGTCAATTACATCTGGGCGACCTATTAGAATACAACCCCCTTTAAGATATACTATCTCTCTATTTTGTAATCGATATATATATATATATATACATCTTCGAGCTGGAAATCTTGTTGTTAACAATGTGTACTCATGCAGCTCCATTATCTGGTAATGTTAACTTTGCATAGAGGATTTAATCATGAGCTGGCATCAGTTTGAGAACCCCTGGAAAACCTAGGCGTACTGGAAAGCTGTTTCTATCGTTCGAGTTTGGGAGTCCTTATCAGTACGTACCCTCCAGGGTTCCAACACAGGACCTTCTGGTTAGAAGGCCAGCTAGCTTGTAGACCACTGAGCCACTGGGGCCCGAACCAATGGTCCTTGAATTCTAAGTTCACGAAATAGCGTGACCACTTCACAGTGTCGAAGATGAGGCTGTAACTCATCGAAGAAGACATTGTGAAGTGGTCGCGCTATTTCGTGAATTGACAGAAGTTAGAATTCAAGAACCATTGGGTCGGGTCCCAGTGGCTCAATGGTCTACGAGCTCGCCTTGTAACCAGAAGGTCCTGGGTTCGAACCTCGGTGGGTGCGTACTGCTAAGGAGTCCCAAACTAGGACGAATCAGCTGTCCAGGACTCCCAGGTTTTCCAGTGGTTCTCTAACCGATGTCAGCTCATGATGAAATCCTCCATACAATCAAACAAAATCCCTACAAAAACCAATACTTGGAAATGTTTCCTTTGTCGTCGAGTGGTTTTCATGATCTCTAAGTAAACATAACGAACATTTGATAGTGTCCCTCTATATTATGTTCATTCGGATCCAGTCATTAGTTTTGATTTCACCAGAAATCAAAAACCATACTGTAGACAAAGATATAATTCTTCTGAAATACTGTCCCATCTTACTAAACCATGTTTACTTCAATGTCACGTGTATGATAAGTTAGCAGTTTCACTCCTTATGCGTTTAGCTTTAGTGTTCGTCATCACTTGCACGTAACTGTGTTACATATTCTGAAGTAATATTCTATGTGCTTTCACAGGATGTTATTACTGTTACACACACACTTATGCACATTACTTGGATTGAAACTGCATGTTAGCTTCAGTGTTGGACGACATTTCCCCCCAGGGCTTTTTTAGTAATAACTGGTTCAGTCCTACAATCAACTTTTTACCGATGATCGCTTGCTTGATTCAAAACAGCTATTTGTAAACACTGCTACTGTTTCCTTCAAATCTCCATCGTTTCAAACTAGTGGCGATAATAGGCGTATATGCATTGCTGCATGCTATCATTTATACACTTCTCTAAAATAAAAACGCGGAAGCCTTATACTTTTGAAACTACAACTACCCATGTTCTCCTGGTCAATTGTTATTCTATTCTGATGTTGCGTGTTAAAAGTTCATTTTCATTATTCACCACTAATTTCGTCACAATAACGTAAAATTAATTAACTGAATGGAGTACGAAAAATTTTTTCCTTCGTCTATGACGCATCAGCTTCTCATTAGCAAGACAGACATTTTTTCTAATAGATTACGACCGACAAATCGAAGCAGTACATTCCACCTTGATAAAATGAAACAAAAACTATTTATAGGGTAATTTTTTCAATGTCAAAAACGTTACACTTTAAATAAAGGGAATATACAAGTCTAGCGTGTTATATGATAAAACAATTAACAAAACTGACAGTAATTAGTATAAGAATACCGTATTATAACGAAACATTCACTTTGCGAGTTAAACCCATGAAATGACAGTGTCAAGTTTAGGATAGATTTTAAAGAGATCAAGAGGTTAAATATTCAAGTTGTCTTCTTGTTAGGAGATATATTTAATTGTGCTGGGCACAGTAGCAAAAGTATGTGTGAAATTATTGTCACTAATTTCATTTCAGCAAACTTCACCCTGTTTTAAACATTTTTGATACCTGAATTTCCCCCCAGTGTAATGCATCCACGTCTCTCCCTTTCTGGTGGTTTTAATCTTCCAACCATCTCTTCGGATCACAACATGAGTTGACACAAAGTTATAATTGCCTTCCCACCTACCACCGTGTACTTCAAGAAGCGAATGATGGGAAAATGTCGTGTAGAATAATGTTTTGTTTTGGATGAAATGACGCTACCTCCTATGATACTGTCGATAAATATTCTGCATTAAATATCCTATACGGGTAGTAATTATTCTGCAAGAAATTACGTTGAGAATTCTATATTGTGTGTGAAAGTAATTTTAAGAACAAAGCTGTTACTATTTTTCCCAAGACAGTGACATATTAGTGCATATACTCTGTCTGTATCATGCACATCTAAATCATTCACAAAATGTACCCATCCAGACTTAGAGAGAAGAACAAATAGTTCAGAGAAGAGTCTCCATTCGGCGAATTCACTCACTTAGCTATACAAACGCCTCTGTATATAATCAATTCTCTTTGAGTGTCTATATGTGTATATTCAGCTTATCAACTGAGAATACAACTTAGTTTGGAATGTTGCATACGTCATCAAAATATTTGAAAAAGGTGATTGATAATCCAATTGCAAATATGGAATGAAGATTAGATACTGTACACTTGGGTTGAGTAATATGAAAAACGTTCAGAAGAAATTGGACTTTAATGAAGGAGCATGAATAGGAGTGTCAACATGAATCATGTAGCAGGTAAAAAGAGTGAACAGAAGGTTAGTTAAGAGAATGATACCAATAAATATCATACTATCAAAATGTTGATAACAGTTGAGCTTGGAGTTATACTCGAGGTAGATGGAGAAGTTTCTTCTGTTTACTTAAATCACAGATTTCCATTCAAATCGCTAAGGCCTCAGTAGTTGAGATTGTACTGTGGTACACTGCTTTTAGGAGGCTTCTTTTAACTTTGTAGATAGCTTTGAAGGAAATTTCCTTGTATATTATGTGACCAGTGTTGAATATACATCCAATCACAGCGCACCCTACTGATCATTTGTGGCCTTTCCGTAGCCGAGGATTGAACGACTAATATATCTCAATTTATAGGAACAGGTCAGCTATTAGATACACAGATTCATACAGCGAGTTTTATCCTTAAATTTATCAAAGGACACTGAGTGGCAGAAGAATACCAATCTTAATATAGCATGTTCTGTTTAGGGTATTCGGTTTTCCTTTTACTAGAGTGTGGAACAGGAGGTCACTTGTAAATGCCACATTTATGTATTGTATCTTCAGCATAAAGATGGAGATTTCTTTGCTTGTTTTGGGTATGAGTCACTGATTTGAGACTTCGTGAAACATAAACGGTCTAACCATCTGTTTACAATGTCAATCAGATAAATTACATCTACTTATCGCCTTGTCAGAAGTAATGAAGGAAAGTAGTCATTTACTGTGTATCCGGTTTTCAACAGGTTCATATATTTTTGGAAGCTCAAATGCCATAAGATGAACCTCATCCTGTGATTGATGGATAATATTTCGCACCATGCATTTATTATACCAACTATGGAAAAACATCTCTTGCATGTGCTTACACCTATTTTGAAATGTCTCAATGACCCAAAGCAGTTTGTTTACAAATGCTGTAGAAGCACAACTGACGCTGTTGTTGTACTCCGCCACATTAGTGTTTCAAGTATTGATAAAGGCGCAAAGTTTGTTTAAGCCTCGTCTTTAGACTAAACTTCTGC